TAAGAATATGAATCTAAAACCAAAACAATCCAAGGTACCAACAGTTCCAAAGAAAGCCTTGTTCTTACAGATGCAGTTCCTAGGAGACAACACAAGTGAAATACTAACGCATCGCCTCAGAAATGCTGTAAAAAGAGCATTCCCTGCTGCAGAATTACACTGTGTCTTCAAAACCACTCCTCTTCTACGTTCGAGAATAAAAGACAAACTGCCTAATTTCGCCTCTTCCATGTGTATCCACCAATTTAACTGCTCCTGTGGAGTGAGCCAGTTACATAGGCCGTACAATTAGGCGTGTTTCTCGTCAGATTTCCAAACATAACCCTGCCTGGTTAAGCAAAGGACAAACAAAATCTATTCGCAGCGCTATTCTGTCTCACTCACCTTGTGGATACAGAACACAAGATTGACGTTAACCATGCTTTCAGGGTCATTTACCGCATACCTACGAATCTCAATTTTGCCTTAACAGTTTGACTACTAAATATTGCTGAGGCTGTTGGGATCCACATTAAGAAGCCTAATTTGTGCATCCAAAACAGGTTAGTTCAGACACTGTCCCTACCTTGGCCATCTAGGTTCGAATGATCATGAATTTTTGTTGAAATTTCCTAATTTTAGTTGATATTCTATTTGCTATTATATCTTTATTATTATTATAATTTATGCACCTTTAATAAACTGTAATTAATTCCATTGATCTTACTTTACAAATCTATATGATTTAAAAAACACTAATATTGTTGTATACTACTATTCTAGAATATTCTATGTAGATAAACATATATATAATTGTAGGGCGAGAAGAGGAATTTATCGAAAGGGGGATATTCTTTGCTCAATCATTTTGTGTTTTACAGATATCTGAATGAATATTTTTCCTACATATTTGTTGAGCGGTCAGCTGTCGCCTTCTGGTTTGTTCACAGCCAGAGTTTCTTGTTGCTGATTCTTTGTGACCAGCTATTTGATCTTTAATACAGAGCCAGAGAATACAGACAGCTGTTGATAAAAGTCCGCTGTAGACTGTTGGAAATGTTTTTCGTGATACGCCTACCAAGTTTCTTTGTGTGTTCTTTAAGTTGAGTGACAGCAGAAGATTTCCAAACCGACTTCAGATTGAGATGATGGTTTGTCTTGCTTCTGACATCATCTGTTCTGTCGTCTGTCGTCGAAACTGTGCATCCTAGACAGATAATGGGAAGGAAGTAACCTCTTTCAAATCTCTCCCACTGTTGATGGTGATTGGTGCTGGCTGTTGTCAAATATTGTCGCTGTTGGTTGGTTGGTTATCTTCATCACCTCCGTCTTGGATAAATAAATTACACGCCAAACGCATGAAATTATCATGTTTTCGGTAGTTTATTTTGTCACACATACTTTTGTAAAAAACAGCTTCACATCTAATCCATATCTAATAGAAAGAACATCAGCTGGTATCACTCTTCAGGGAAGACGACTACACTTGGAATGTGTAATGCACATTTTAGTCAGAGGTAATGTTGACTTCAAATCCAACTACTATTTACCTTATTGCACTTATTGACAAGTTAGCAAAAACACGAAATGAAGCTTCAAGTATTCATGGTTAGATACCGTCGGCAACTTTGTGTCGTAGGGAATGAAGTTAGCTTTCGATATATGTTGAGTGACCAACATAATCAATAAATATTCAAGTATTGGTTTGTAGGGATTTGATTGATTGGTAACAGGATTTTATTATGAGCTGACATCGGATAGAGATGTTGAAATCCTGTAACCAATCAATAAAATCCCTAAAAATCAATACTTGAATATCAATGAGATGCTCACAAGAGACTGGCTCTATTCAGGTAGGTAGGTAGCTACAGGGTTTCTAGTGGGAAGTCGTGACCAGTAGGGTACAGCAGGTTGGAGGTGTGGGGACAAATATTCGCCACGGGTGATATTGGCTAGTGGTCGCGCCAGATTATGAATTGGCAGAAGTTGGAATTCATGAGCTGACTGTTGAATCGGGTCCCAGTGGCTTAGTGGTTTACGAGCTCGCTAGCCTTGTAACCAGGTCCTGGGTTCGAACCCTGGCGACGGGTGCGTACTGATGAAGAGTCTCAAACTGGGGCGAAACAACTGTCCAGTACTCTCTAACCGATGATATCAGCTCATGATGAAATCCTGTAACCAACATAATCAGTAAATTTCAAGAAACGTGAACGCTTAGGATATTCAGAAAATATTCATTCAGACATTTAGAAAAAAACTAAAAAAAATTGTGTAAAGAATATCCTTTTCGATAATTTCCTCTTGTGGCTTTACAATTATATGTTATATATATACATGTGTTTATATACATAGAGTATTCTAGAATAGTATTCAATAACAATATTGGTGTTTTTTGCCTAAATAATATCGATTTGTTAAGTACGATCACAATGGAATTACCACAGTTCAAGAAAGATGCATAAGTTATAATAATAATAAGCATAAAAATATAATACTCCGCTAAAAATAGAATATCAAACAAAACTCAGGAAATCTCTACAACAGCAAATTAAGAATCATTAAAACCTTGATGGCCAGTCAGCGGAGTAAGGAAAGCGTCTGAACCAATTTCTTCTTTCGGATACATAGATTAGGCAGCTTAATGCAGATTCCAACAGTCAGCCTCAGCAATAAATATGTATTAGACGAACTCATAAGGTAAAGTTAAGATTATATGGTATACGTTAGATGATTATGAAGGCCTGGGTGACATTAATTTTGTGTTCTGTATCCACGAGATGAGACAATAATAGAACTATAAATGGACTCTGTTTATCCTTTTACTTAACCAGCCATTATGCAGGATGGTATTCAGAAATCCGACGAGAAACACACCTAATTGTAAGGCCTTTATAACTGGCTCCTATGGAGACAGTGAACTTATAAATATCAACATTGTTAATAACGGCTATTGAAGGATATTCTATGTATATAATTGTAGAGCCAGAAGAGAAAATTATCGAAAAGGCTATTCAGAAATCTCTAAAATTGGTCCACGTTTTTTCCTCTAAAACGAATTTATCACCTTTGTGTCCTATTGTACAAACAATACTTTCCATTATATAAAATTCAAATATACGCATACACTTATAATATATACATATATTTGTAATATTACACACTATTCCGAACAATAATAATCATTCACAATGGAAACTTTTCAGAAAATCGCATTCAGATGGAAGAGAGATGAAAATATCCATTTACCAGAGAAGGCAAAGAAAGACTGATAACTGTTTCTTTGTGAACACATAAATCAGGTTTCATGCGCTTGATGGAAATAACTTCAGCAAACTTGAGGATAAATGAGCTCTTTTGCCTATTGATAATTTTGAAAGTCTTTTCGACGTCCACCATATGACTTGTGTCGAGGAGATACCTGGCGATGGCAGTGTTTAAAGCATTTTCTCCCTTTAGACGTAAGCTTTTTGGTACATGTTCAGAAAATCGTAGATATGCCCTTCTTTCCGTCCTTCCGATGTAACTGCTCCAATATATCTACACCATTGATTTTCTTTAATTCAGTAATAATATCATTGCGTAATCACGAGTTGAGTGTCTTGATTGGAAGGAACAGTATACTTCCGCTACATCAATTGCATAACTGAATATTGCCCACTGACGGATAGGAGGATGATATACACTTCTTCATATCAAGCATATCTATCCACAAATGTAAAGATGTAATCAGTACACACATACATCCACGTCGTAGACTAAGAAGATTGCATGATCGACTGCGTGCTGACCCCTCCCCTCTTATAGACATCACAGATTAAATTATGTAAAATAGAGCTCACAGCTATAGGTAGATATCAGGGCTTTGGTGGTGAGACCAAATCATCAGTACTCTCTACAGTTTCAGGAATAGACACCTACTTCTAGGAATTGACGCCTACTACTATAAGGGCCAGGCTATTGATCGTTTATTGAGAAAATCAACAGATATTTATAAATTTTTATGTACATTATAATTCGTCACTGTTAGCAAAGAAGCAACGTCTTCTGATTGGTTGTCTTTTTGTTGAAGGTTATTCTGTCATCTCTTTGTTGCCGTTTCTTAGAAAGTCAGGCTATATATCTGCGAATCATATTTGCACACGTTAAGTCTGTTGTGATTGGTTGGGTTCTATCTCCCGTGTGAAATCGTATAATGGGGTGAGCAATATTGAGGTTACGTGTTGAGTGCTAGGTAGGTGGGAGGGGAAATCAATAGACGAGTCTGTGAAGTTACATCGATTGAGATGGTTAGAGCATGTGTTACGCATGCCTAGCCATCGCCTTCATTGACGATGGGCAATGTTAGCTGACATAAGGTCAGGCTGGAAATCCACAACGGTTAGTTTAAACCAAGTAGGAAGATGTAGACTTCCTGGTTGGGGTCTTCGGAACGGTAAAAAACAAAGAAGGCTGGAGACAATTAGTGATATGGCTCAAAATTGTACTCAGTGATGGCTGGCGCAGATGCATCCATTCCTTGTGACTTGTGACCCAATAAAACTATATTGTTCTTCGATATTACTATTCGTTTTGCCTCATATCTCTGTTTACTGTCTCTATTTTGCGTTTCTTTTTACTTTCTTCTCTGGCTTTGTGTGGTACAAGGAGGGAGTGTGGCAACTAGAACTGCTGCACATTGGTGCAAAGTTCTATGCTGGAACCAGTCAGTCAGGCAGTCAGTGATTGGTTGGTGAGATCCTCAGGGTTAAGCTTTGTTAGTTTTTTTCTCATGACCCCGATTCGGGACGTGAACATTGACGTAACCTGTTGTCTACAATGTTGGCTAGCAGACAGCTCTCACCACAATATAATATAATATATATGATTCTGAAAAGATAACTGAGAAAGTATTCAGGACTCGGGAAATCGTGGAACAGGACAACATTACATCAATTAATTAATGTTTAGTATAGATACTAAATGCATCAAAGTATTGAGGTTTTATCCTAGACACCATAAAGAGAAAAAATGTATTCACTAACTTGATCACATTGTGTACGAGCGAAAACAACGAAAACATCAGCTACAGCGCCATTGGTTACCCATGTTTTATACCCATTAAGGAGATAATGATCATCAGTTTCATTTGTAACAGCTAAACTCGTCATCGCCTGGATATCATTACCACTGAAAAGAAGTGAAGAAGAGATAGAAGCATATAAGTTCATATTGTTATGCTGTGAAATTCATACTGTGAAATGTGTGTTCTAATGATAAGCATTTGTGAGTAGTATATATATATATATTGGTGATATCTACCAGAATTTTAAATCGTGGAGCAATGGATGGAATTTTCTTTTTTAGATAGAGAAGAAATAGAGGTGATAGTGAAGCAATACAGAAAGAATTGGAAGGCAGACTAAATAAAAAGTAAATATGAGTACTGTTTTCAAATTGAAAATTTCAATGTGAGGTTTTATATATTAGATGGTTGGAGGCAATCGGCCACGGGAAGGCCAACCTCACCTAGGTTTCGTGCAGGTTGGCACTCGTCAGCAAGGGGACGTATCTGCAACCTGTTGAAGGAACTCAAAACCTCATCACCCAGTGCCACTTGCAGTCAGAGATGTTACCACTGAGCAGCTATTCGGGCTTGCGACTGACCACCTCCTGTATGACTGTATTGGATACTTTGATTGGACACTAGTCAGTAACTAGTGTGATATATCTAGTCTTTTCTTTGGTGCAGACTGAATTCTATCAGTTAGGTTTGCCTCTGACCATCTAATATCATCAAATCAATGTGCACCCTGATGGCGGGCTACCTAGAATGGTAGCCACATAGCAAATCTGACTGATAGAATTCAGTTTGCACCAAAGAAAGGACTAGACACACATCAAAGCAGTTACTAGTGTCCAATCAAAGAGGTTTTATATATTTTGCAATCACCCTATGGTCATTTCGCTAAATCAACAATTCTGCTATTATATGTCGCCGTGTTCTATTGCTACAATCATCATCATCATCAGTCCCTTGACTTTCGTCGTGGGGGTGCTATGACAGTTCGCGCTATCAGTTTTCGCCATTCTTCTCGGTTTAATGCTATTTTCTGTAGCGTATCCAAGGGCATTTCAGTCCACTCTTTTATGTTGTCAAGCCAGCTCTTATTCGGTCGACCTCTCTTTCGTGCTCCTCCTACTGTGCCTTGTAGAATCGTTTTGGACAATGTGTCATGTCTTACCGTGTGGCCGAACCATTGTAGTTTCCGTTTCTTTACGATTGAAAGGAGTGGTTCCTGTTTTCCTGCCAGTCTATGGACCTGGTGTAAGACATATTCATTAGTTTTCCTTTCAAGGTAACTTATTCCTAGGATCCTTCTATAGCTTTTGTTTTCGAAGGCTTGTATTCTTCTTTCTGTCTCTGCATTCAGGGTCCAGCTCTCACATCCATATAGGAATACAGAGAGGACCAGTGACGAGTAGAGTTTCATTTTTGCTGAGACGCTGATGTTGCTCTTCCATATTTTCCCTAACTTGGACATGGTGGCAGAGGCTAGGTTTAGTCGAATTTTTATTTCCTTAGTGGACCTTCCATCTTTTGTTAGGGTAGACCCAAGGTATTTGAAAGTTTCAACCTCTTCTAATACATGTCCATCAAGTCTGATACATCTATCTGAGTTGTTTCCTCCGTTAATGAGTATTTTGCTTTTTTCTGTGCTGATTTCCATGCCCACAGATTTGGTTGCAACATCAAGTCTTGAGGTGAGGTCCTGAACTTGATCAATGTTTTCCCCAATGAGGGCTATATCATCAGCAAATCTGAGGTTGGAAATTGGTCTTCCGTTTATGCTAAGTGTCGGTGTAAAGTCATGTAGGGTTTGTGTCATAATATGTTCGAGGAATAAATTAAAGAGGACTGGTGAGAGAATGCACCCTTGGCGTACTCCTATAGTTGTTCTGAAGAACTCGCCAGTTTGATTATTTAGAGATACTGCACTACTAGATTTGTTATATAAAGACTTAATAACCTCAATTATGTTTTTATCTATATTGTAGTTATTCATGACTTGCCATAAGCCTTCGTGCCACACACGGTCAAAGGCCTTCTTAAAATCGATAAAGTTGTGTACTAGCATTTTTTGGTGTTGTAGACATTTTTCGTTTAGTACCCTTATGTTAAAAATTTGTTCAGTAGTGCTTCTGCCCGGCCTGAATCCGGCCTGTTCTTCTGAGAGTATTTCCTCTACTTTCTTTTTGAGTCTGTTCAATATTACTTTCAGCATGACTTTACTTGGGTGGCTGATTAAACTTATCGTTCTGTAGTTCTCGCACTGCTTTGCGTCCCCTTTCTTAAATATTGGAATGATTAGTGACTGAGTCCATTCTTTAGGCCATTCTTTTTCTTGCCAGATTTTTTGACAGGCTGCTTTCAGCCATTTAACTGTTTGTGGTCCACCATGTTTAATTAGTTCTGCCGGTATGTTGTCAATTCCTGGTGATTTATCTCCCTTAAGTGATTTTATTGCTTCCTCTACTTCTGACTCTAGTATGGGTGAATCACCGATCTCCCTATTGTCCCAGTATGAATTGTTTATTAGGCTATAATTAGGGCTTATTTTATGATTGTAGAGTCCCTTACAGTATTCTGTCCACCTTCTAAGGATATCTGCTTCTTCTGTTAAGAGGGTGCCTTTGCCATCCTCAATTACGGTTGCTCTATTCAGTTTCGTATTGGTCAGCTTACTCAGTGTTTCGAATGCTTTTTTATTGTTGCCTCCCCTTAAGCTATTATCGATGATATTACAGCCCTCTTTTGCTCTCTTCATTTTGGAGCGTATTTCTTTGTCTACTGTTCTATACTCTTCCCTGTACTGGGAATTAAGTCCTTTCTTCTTTTTTAGTTAAATAACACTAGTCAAATAAGAGAACACTTAACATGAGTGTTTGTTAAACTTTAGGCTCAATTCCCTGGAATGTATCTTCCATGTAGCATACTAAGAGGAACACATATCGTGAAACTGATTGACTAATTTCGACATAGAACATTGCACAGAAGTGCAACACAGTTCGAGTTGCCACATTCCATAAAGCACACAAATGAGGAGAAAAGAGAGGAAAAATGCATTCAAAACAATAATAATAACCAGAAATGCACAGGAGAAAGGGTAGTAACATGAAAGAACAATAGGGTTTAGAGGATAGGGCAGATCACAATGAGTGAAGGAATCTATGCCAGCCGTTGAGAACGACTTTCAGCCATATCACCAATTGCTCCCAGTCATTGGCTCTTTAGCATCACAAGGATCACAACCAGTCAGTCTACATCTCCGTAAGCGGTTCTGTTATGACCGGAATTTAATGCGTTAACTAATTTGTCCTAATCGCACGTCAACAACAACAATAATAATAATAACGTCGGGCAGCAAAGACAGAAGATAGGACTGGAAGTCGATAAGAGCTTTTATTACCTCAGAACAACAGTCAAAAAAGTTTGACAGAGCTTGCGTATATATATGTTCAAAATGACTTTGAGAAGCACTAATGTCATTGATAAATTAGGACAGTGAACAACCAATAGGATTCTAAAAGTCATGAGTAGGGTGAGAGAAGTACAAACAGGCATGTAAAAATGGCATGTAGGAAATTAGGTCTGTATATTTCAGGTTCAAACTTACTGTCAAAGATCTTATGAACTGGTTCCAAGTTTTGGTTTGACAACCACTAGCTCTCTTCGAGCATGTTCCATCCTCTGACAGTCAGCTAACATTGCCCGTCAGTCAAGGGAGGCGATTTATGGCTAGGCATGCGTAACACACGTTCTAGTCATCTCAATAGATGTAGCTTCACAACCTCGTCGATTGATTTCCCCACCTTACCTAAGACTCGTAGCCTAACCACAATATTACTCACTACATTATATTATCTAACAGGCGAGGAAGAACGCAGACACTTATGATCAAAGACAGAGGGCTAGTCTTTCCATGTCTTCCATTTTCAATCGCCACGTCTCACTTGCAGCCATAGAAGAGGACGGAGTGGACTGTTGAGCAGTACATGCGCCTTTTGATCGATAACCAGGTGGATATCACGTCTACTAAGCCAGAGATGAAGTCGGTTGGCATACGCCAAGTGAGCCTTCTATATCCGTGCTGAGATTTCGTCAGCGATAAACTCGCTGATGTTGGCTCATGCAACTTCTTAAATAAGTGAAGTGGTCAACACACTGAACAGCTTCACTTTCTATTTTGAAGCTAGGAGTCAATACAGTACAGTCCTGTGGCATCCATCATCTTATATTTGACAGCAGGAGCAAATCGAATTCCAAACACTCGAAGATTTCTGCTCAAGGTGTTTAGAAAACTCTGCTCTATTTTATCAGCGTCTTCACCTAGGAGGAAGGGCTACATTATCCGTATATTCTACGTCAACGAGATTATTTCCTGGTAACAAGTCAATCCCTGAGTCGCTGAAGTCACTTAGGGTTAAAACCATTAGTACATCTATGATGAAACCGAATAGAAATGTGGAGAGTGGACATCCCTGACGGAAACCACTAGCTACCACCAGTTCACATGACAACTCACCGTAAGCTCTTACCTGGCTGCATGAGTTCGAGTAGAGTGCCTTGATCAGTGCAATACAACTAATGTAATCTATCTATTCCTTTCATTTAATGCAGACTGAATTCTTTCAGTCAAGTTTGCAATGTACCTGCCCCCATGACATTAGGCGGCTCGCCATCACGGTACACTGAAATGTTGGTAATAGATGGTCGGAGGCAACCGGCAGGGTGACGCGAGTTCGAATGTCAGAAGGGACATGAATTCCCTCAAGGGTTGAAGATATGCCTTGCTGACTGGTGAGTGCCAACAAGCGCGAAACCTAGGTCAGGTTGAGCTACCTGTGACCGATTGCCTCCAACCATATAATAACAACAATGTCGATTGTAAAGACGAACTGAACTGAATTTCAGCGCGGAATTTGCCCAAAAAATGTATGGGAGAAAGACTAATTGAATGTAGCCTAATGGGGATTTTTACAATCTGGAAGAATCCAAAAAGTAAGTACATCTGAGTCTATTGTGAATAATTTTGAGCCGCATCACTTGTAGTCCGTAGCAAGTGACTCTTAGCATCTTGATGGAACCACCTAGGTGGGTCTAAATTTCCTTAAATGGGTCAAACCAACAGTCAATAACTTCTTTATGTATCGGTAGTATATTTTCGTTGAACCACCAGTACCTACCCACCTTTGAACTGCTTTCCAACCTAATGTCATTTCAGCTAATATTAGTCGTCGAGGAAGATATTAGTTCCGGTATGAGTATGATTCACAACTTAAATGACGGACGTAACACCCCAACCTACAGCACAACGTCATCGTTGTGCTAGTTATCACATATTGTACAACCCAACACTAGAGACAGAACATACAGACACCTTCGGTCAAAAACCAGTAGTCTTTTCGACTGTTCTATTTTTAACAGCTACGTCTCATAGGAATAAATTGGGACGAATAAAACTGTCACACTGTACATATGTGCCCTTCGATAGACAGGCAGACAGATGGATATTACGCATGCAGTAATCCTAAAGGTGACCAGAAACACACAGGGATGGGGGGACCGAGGGTTAATCTTGATAAATCCAACTCCAAAAAGGTGTATCGAATGAGATACCGTTTACACAAGTGAGGCTCAAAAGGGCAAGGAACTCTATGTCACTAAATCATACTGCTTTCAATAATATGAAGATTTTTTGTTTAAAAAAAGACGCCCACAAGAATTTATCAAAACTAACCTACTGATTTCAGATAAACAAAATCCGCCTATATATTCGCCTGAGGCTAATTTTGGTAAATAGTGTATTTTCTGTTCTTTTGTTCCAAGTAATGATATTGCCTACAACAACGAAAAGAAGGAAGAAAATATAACAATTAGTTGTATAGAATAATTAAGAAAAAAAAGGAGGATTCATTTATAATGTCACTATTATTATTATGATTATGAGCAGTAATAATTTGTCCTCGAAACGTGTGGTCATCATTAGTAAATATTCCTGTATAACAACACTACACTGTGAGACTTTATCAAAATAAATTTTACCCACAAAATGGAATTATACTCTACCACTGCAGTGCACAAGTTCTATTCTTATATTTTGAACAGTTGATATGTCTCAGTTTGAAACTCTTTGGAAACACGTACTCTATACCTATGACGCCACCGGGGATCGAATCTACCACCTTTAGGCTACAAGGTGAGTTCACTAACTTTTCAACCACTGGGATGCAATTCAATGGCTTATGAATTCCAATTTCTGCCTATTGGTGATGTATATAGCAACCACTAGCGATCCTCGGTGAGATTTGGTTGTGTACTGTTGAAAAGTCCCAAACTATGACGAAACAGCTAGCTAGTTACTCCTGGGTTTTCAATGACCCACTAAGTTAATTAAATCAGTTCATAACCTAACTCGAAATCCACTAGATCCTTGCATACTATCATTATAACAATAAAAACTGGAAATTAAAAATAAATTAAACAAATAACAACTGGCACTACTTGTTGCACAAGCGGTCGGGGTTTCATCACCCAATATATCCAAGTGGACAACACTGGGTTCAAGCATTGGTGTAAACATCATCATACTTACTGAGATGCAGGCACATCCAGGAGACAAGTAGCAAAATAAGACGAAATTTGCATTTTGGATTCCACTCACTATCGGTAACTACTAAACAATTCAAAACCAGGGAGTACTGGACAGCCAGTCCTAGTTTGGGACTCATCCACAGTATGCTCGCTAGTGACTGGTTACAGGACAGAGTTTCCCCCGAGTTCTAGTGAGAAGTCGTGACCAGTGAGGTCCGATGTTCCATCCCCGGCCAACGCACTCCTCCTTTACCTCGCTAAGCCAGTAATAATAAGACTGGTAAAGTGGGAAGGTTGAGGGCACATGAGGCCAGCAGCAACCCCATCCCGTAAAAAATAAACACCACTGCTACCGAATCTTCAAAGCTCTAACTTGAAGTCCTTATGTTCCACGTCTAATCTTTAAACCAGCTAACATAGGCTAAAACCAGTTTACCCGTCACATCATATTTTGACGACTTTATCGAAAACCGAACAGCACTAATATCAAACTCGGTGACGAGGATGGAGTATACTGGCGGCCTGCTTAAATCTTGGGCTACTAAAAACTTCCATCTCTCTATAGCATATACTTTCTCTCGTTTAGTTTATTTTTAATCTACTCTTGGGTGTATTTAAAATGTTTACAAGCTCCTGATTCGTTAGTTTCCATTAAACTTGAGGAAAGGCCTGATTGTGGATGGCGAACGTGTTCCAATACATGAGAGATAACTGTTCTCTAGTTAAGTCTTTGAATTTCAAAACGTACTTCTGAACATCTTAAAAATTGGCTTTCACAGCTAGATAGATATCGTGGATTTCTTGAAGGAGACAAAGCAGATATATGACATAATGAAATGATTTGTGCTTCAGCGCCCAGAGACAATTGTGTCACAAGATATTATTTTTTTTTAATTACTATTTTGTTCCTTTGCGTTCCGTGTGGAAAATAGGGCTTTGAAGTATCAGTAGTAGTAGTAGTAGTGTTTTTTACAGGATGACGTTACTGCTGGCCTCACACCCAACCTTCCCTCTTCGCCGGGATTGTAACCGGCGCCAGTCGGGATTCGAATCCCGAACCACGTGCATGGTTCGCCAGCACTCTACAGCTGAACCACCAACGCACATCACTGTCTGTCTGTCCATGTGGCACACAAAGCAAGAGAAGAAAGTAGGAGAAATGCATAATATAGACAGTAAACACAGGTGTGAGACAAAGGAATACTAGTAACGAAGAACAAAACAGTTTAATTGGAAAACATAAGTCACAAGGAGTGGATGCATCTGCACCAACCATCACTGAGAACGATTTTGAGCCATGTCACCAATTGTTTCCAACCATTGGTTTTTACCGTCCTGAGGACCTCAACCAGGGAGTCTACACCTTCCTACGTGGCCGGCTTAAACTAACTGTTGTGGATTTTATTGACTGGTGCCATGTTTTCGTTTGACCGCCGCTAGCTCTTTTCCAGTCTGACCCTATATCAGCTAGCATTGCCCGTCGGGCAAGGAAGGCGATGACTAGTTATACGTAACACATGTCCTAACCATCTCAGTCGATGTAGCTTCACAGTCTCGTCGACTGATTTCCCCGCCTTACCTAGCACTCGACCACATATGACTAACCTCAATATTGCTCACCTTATTATACCACTTCACGCGGGAGATAGAACGCAGGCATCTATGATCGAAGACAGCTAATCTTTTCATGTCTTCCACTCTCAATGGCCAGGTCTCACAGGAATAAAGGCGGACGGAGCAGACTGATGAGTAGTACACACGCCCTTTGGTCGATAGTCGGATATCACGTCTACGCCAGAGATGGCGTAAACTGGCATATGCCAAACGAGCCTTCTGTATCCGTGCTGAGATTTCGTCAGCGATCAACCCATTGGGGCTGATGCAACTTCCTAAATAAGTGAAGCGGTCAACGTGCTCTACCACTTCACTTCCTATTTCTAATCTAGGGGTCGGTGTAGTCCAATCCTGCAACATCATCTTACATTTTACAGGGGCGAATCGCATGCCAAACATACGAAGATTGCACTCAAGGTGTTCAGAAGACTCTGCACATCACAGATGATACTGTCAGTTAATATTTTACTTGAAGATATTCTACAAAGGGAAAATATAATGCAATCAACGCCTCTGAAAATTCTGTACATGTTATGAATACTATCCAGAATAAAGAAATTATTATTATCTAACAGAAGAGTAGGTCATTCAAAATACTTTAATGAAACCAAAACAAAACAAAAAATAAAAGCTAACCTTAGCAGTTAAGTTCTGATGTGCAGTCACTGTAGCCCATACAGATCCATCTAATCCAATCGCTTCACAAGCTCTAGTCCATTGAGTTGTATTAAAACCCAAACCATGATATTCTCTGTCAATTGTTAGACTGAGTAGACCTAAATCATTCAATTTACGTATAGATTCTTTTGATAAACCAGTGTTCCGATCAATTTCATAACTGTTCACTAAAACAGAAAGTAGAAGAGAGAAGAAAAGTTGTTTAGTGACATTTTCGACGATGGTTATTGTCTCAATTTTTTTATTCCTTTAAGCCCCCCCCCCCCCAGTAAAACATTGGGGTCTTCAAGCTAGAGGCTTGAAGTTTCGGTAGCAGTGGTGCTTGTTTATTTCTACAGGATGGGGTCGCTGCTAGCGTCATTCCCAACCCAATATTTCCTCTTTACCAGTCTTATTATTGGCATGGCAAGGTAAAGGAGTGCGTCCAGTGGCCGAGAATCAAACTCCGGACCACCTGCGTCATTGGCGAGTATTCTGCCGCTGTGCCACCAACGCACAATTGTTTCAATTAGGTAGAAAAAAAATTAAACATCTACATTCAAGTATTGGTTTGTAGGGATTTGATTGATTGGTTACAGGATTTTATCATCAGCTGACATCGGTTAGAGAACCATTGGGAATACTGGAGTACTCGCCGAAGACATTGGCTAGCTGTCGCGCTATGTCATGAATTGTCAGAAGTTAGAAGTGATGGGCCATTGGATCGGGTTCCAGTGGCTTAATGGTCTACGAGTTCACTAGCCTTGTAACCAGAAGGTCTTGGATTCGAACCCGGCGTGTTGGGTGAGTACTGTTGAAGAGTCCCAAAATGGGCTGACGAAACAGCTGTCTAACGGTTCTCTAACCAACGTCAGCTCATGATGAAATCCTGTAACCAATTAAACATCTAATTTATGACAAATACATCCATTTTGACTTCATAGTACATTTTATTTAAACATTTTCTTATCTACTCTAACAAATTCATTCTCACACTAGTATGATGAACAGGCCTGGATAGGCAACGCTTAGTGACTGGCTATAGAATGACGTTTCCTAGAGTTCTAGTGAGAGTTAGAGACTAGTGGGGTCCGGTCCATCTGTTCAGCAGTGACGACAAACACTCACACCGGTGATCATGCGCCACTGAGTCACGTCCGATTGGATGAATGATCAACGGGTTTAACTTGGGGCCAAGATTTCCTGAGTCCGGGCCCCAGTGGGTACATACTGTTAATGAATCCAAAACTAGGATGAAACAGTTGTCCAGTACTCTAGTGCTGGTTTTCAATGGTTCTCTAACTGATATCAATCCCTGGTCTATATCCTACAACAATGACAGAAAATAATGGATACTAAAAGCAACATCTAAACGTGCTGTAGAGGTGAAGTCCGAAAAACGCTTTGGCAAATGAACTATATTATAAAACATAGAACTTTGCACAGATGTGCACCAGTGTGTGTTGACCACTTCACTTATTTGCAGGGAAGTTGCATCAGCCAACGCCAGCGGGTTGATCGCTGACGAAATCCCAACACGATACAAAAGGCTTTTAGGCATTCGCCAACTTACGCCATCTCTGACGTAGACGTGATATGCGACTGATTATCGATCAAAAGATGTATGTACTGCTCATCAATTATTCCCACTCTTCTTGATGGCTGTGACTGAGATGTGGCCATTGAGAGTGGAAGACATGGTAAGGTCAGATAGCTACCTGCGATAATAGGTGTCTATATTCTATTTCCCGTGTTAGGTGGTGGTATATTAAGGTGAGCACCTGTCGACTGTCAGGGGAAGTCGATCGACGAGGTGGTTGTGAAGTTACACCGGTTGAGTTGGTTAGGACATGTTTTGCACCTGCTTAACTATCCACCGCCCTCCTCGACCGATGGGCAATGTTAGCTAACTGACATAGGATGGTTCAGGTTGGAAAAGAGAAAGCTAGTAGTGGTCAAACCAAAACATGGCCTCATCAGTCAATGAAATCCACGACAGTTCGTTTGAACCAGGCAAGTAGGGAGGTGTAGACTGCCTGACTGTCTGGTTGTGGTTCTCAGGATGGTAAGAAGCAATGAAGGGTGAAGACAATTGGTGATATGGCTCAAAATCGCCGTTCTCAATGATGGCGCAGATGCATTTACCCTTTGTGACTTTTCATATCCAATAAAACTCTTGTTGTTCCATATTACTATTCTTTTCGCCTCACTTACACTTCTGTTGATTATGTCTATTTTGAATCTGTTTTAACTCTCTTCTCTTGCTTAGTGTGGTACATGGAGTGTGGCAAGTGGAACTGGTGCACGTCTGTGCAAATTTTTATGTTGAAACCAGTCAGTCAGTCAGGAGGCAAATATATTTGATTTCAGCCATTCGGATTTGTCTCGTCACTGAGGAAACATTTCGTTGAAATAAATTAAGGAGAAAATAAGGCCATCTGGCAGAAGAAAACGTCAACAAAATGCAGTCAACTGAACATCCTCTTCTCAAATATGGAAACAATTTTTGGATTTTCTGCCGCCGTCGTTGTAGGATGATTCTAAAGGACTATTCTAAACAAAATTTTAGTTTAAGAATAGACAGCTCAGAAGTCAAAAGTCGAATACCACTCCAATTTTAACAGATTGGTCGTAGAGGTATAGGCCATTTGGCTTAAACATATGATTTTCAGCCGATAGCTTGCGAGCTTAGAATTCCGACTACACCCCTACACCTCCTATTTGAGCCTGCGCGACCAAATAGTATCAATATACTTAACATACTAGATCTGATTCATAGGCTAGTACAAGTAGAATCTATTCCGAACAACTGAGTACTCGCTAACCACCTGATCAGTTGGCTTTGAATACGACTGAAAATATTTCTCGTGATTTAATAAACACTCATAATTCGTCAAGTGATCCACAACGGAAAACTCATGGAATCCTTCAAAGGGAAGACGGGAGTAAGACAAGCTGGCTGACTATCTACTATCTCCAATGATTTTCCTGATTGCGGTAGACTGGATAATGCGACAGACAGACAGACAGCAGGCAACGAGGAGACAGGCATAAAATGAACCCACACAAAAAACTTGAAGGATCTGGGTTTTGCAGATGATATATGTATCACTTCCCACAAACTGGAAGACATGCAAGTAAAAAGCAACAATTTGGCGACAGAAGAAGCATCAAAGAGGACTTCAGGTGAGCATAGAGAAGATAGAAGAAGATTTCTGGTCAACAGCAACAACAACAACAGACAACAATCAGCATAAATGGGAGAAATCTGAAAGAAGCAACCTCCTTCACATACCTACCTGGGAAGCATCGTTCCAACTATAGGCGAACACAAAAGATCAGGATGTCAAAGCGAGGATCGGGGAAACGAGGCAAGCTTTCATTACTCTCAAGTCCTGTGTGGAGATCAACACCACTCAGTATGAAAAACAAGATCCGGATTTTCAACTCCGATATGAAGTCAGTGCTACTTACTATACGGATCAGAGACTTGGCGCCATGCCGTGTCACGAAGGGCACTTAGAACAAACTACAGACCTTCATCAACAACTGTCTTCGCTCAATACCACTCAAGATCAGATGGCCCGCCAGAAAAGTTGAGCAACAAGGAGGGATCTCTGGGAGAGAATCAACCCGGCAGGAACCGATTGCGCAACAAATAAGCAGAAAGAAATGGAGGTGGATTGAAGGCCATAATCTGAGAAAACCATCAAGTGACATCATAAAACAAGCCCTCGAGTGGAACCCGAAAGGGAAGCGGCAAGTTGGTCATCAGTGCGAGGGTGAAATAGGAGGTCATGTGAAGAGGAGATGAAAGCATGTGGGCAGACGTGGAGCCAGGTGATGAAAACGTTGGCGGAGAACCGAACGCAATGGAGACGTGTATGACTGAAGCCCTATGTTCCTCTAGGAACTAAAGGAAATAATAATAATACGTAATTCGCCAACTATTTAGTGAAAACAGAAAATGTGCATTGTATATACCATGCTGAGAAATAGCTTAAAACATCATCAACAAATCCATCTTTACATATAACAGAACACAAATGTTGATTATATCAGTATGAGCATTGAACAAGACAAAAAAAGAAAGAAATCACACACTTTTTAGTATGAATTGTTTGATTTGATTATGCATCATATTTAGATTTTCCACTTTACTCCTGGTTTCTAGCTCAGGGAATTCGAACAATTCCTGTAAGTGTAAGGAAGCGAATAAATAGAAGACATGTGTACACAACAGGTTACAAAAATAAGGCGACTTTTAAAAAAAGATTTTCATTAAAACAAAACAAAATTTGACGCGCCATTTTCAACTGAAATTTTACGGGACCTGTATTTAAATAAAAATTTCGGTGACTAAAAATTCAACCATTATCTAAAAATATCTCAATCGATAGCTCATTGAATGGTATTTTTGATTGGATGATACTAGTCAAAGTGACTAGTGTAATGTTTGTGTCTAGTCCTTTCATTTGCTGCAGATTGAATTCTATCAATCAAGCTTGCATTGTGGGGTCACCATGTCACTAGGTGGCTCGCCATCACGGTGCAGTTTGAATTGTTAGCATTAGATGGTTGGAGGCAATCGGTCACAAGAAGTATTACAGGGACCAAGGTTTCGTGCTTGTTGGCATCCACCAGTCAGCAAGGCGTATCTGTAACCCCTGAAGAGATTCATGTCCCCTCTGAGATTCGAACCCACATCACCCAGTGCCACTTGCAGTCAGAGACGTTAACACTGAGCAGTTATTCGGGCTTGTGATGGACCTTCTGTAGCTCATTGATACCTACTGTATGGATGCTCTGAAGCTATGTTGAGAAGTTATGATCAGTGAGGTCCAGTCTGTCAATTGGGTGCTCATTGAAAGCACTGGGGTGAGCGTAGCGGTATATCACAAATTGGCAAAATCGGAATTCACAGATCATATTGGTTCGTTTATTAGGTGTATCACACAGTGAGTGAAACAGTATTATTTAGTGGATGACGTTTCGAACACAATTTATTGTTCATAATCATATCAATTATAATCACACGACTTCGAAACTTGAGTTTTATAGTTTTCTTTGTCCTCTCCTATTTGTCGTCATTGGGGTAGTAGAATTTTCTAGATATCCAACTGGACAGGTGTTGAATCATTCCTGTTACATGTATTTGCAGATGATTCGATAAACAAAGCTTCTGTTACCAATCTCCCCCTCCACCCTGTGACATTACATTTTAAAAATGTCATCTTATCTCATCCATTCCTATTGTATGGTTGTGTGTAATTGCATGTAGTGAGTGCTATAGCTGAACTATTCTCTAGATTCCTTATCTTAGTGTCGAGTCAACTCATCTAGATTTCGCTGCTAGGTTTTTGTGCTCCGCTAGTCTGCCTGCCCCTGTTCTACTAGTTTGACCTATGTATTTGACCTGACAATCATTGCAGGCGGGGTATTAGATAAACTAAATTGTTTTGTTTTAAAGGCTCCACAGGATTGATCCTTTAATCGAAAAAGCTTGTTTCTAATTGAGTTTGTGGGTTTGAATGCCAGCCACTTTTATTCCTGCCATGTTAAGAATTCTGCGTAGAGTTTCTGAGGTTCCATCCTTGTATGGAATTACTACTGATGATTTAGATTCCTTATTGTTGGTGTTGTCTTGCGCATATTTGACATGCATGTCGTCATTAATATTATTATTATTATTATCACTATCACTACTATCATTATTTATTTTATTTTTACATTTCCCTACATATTTTCTGACAGGTCATTGAATCTCCGCCCACGCAGCTGAATGGGCAACGAGACTGGTCTCATAACCTCAAGGTCTCAAGTTCAATCTAGTCACTGAAGCTTTATTTATCGATTCAACACCGTACACGTCCAGTCAATCGGAATGACGGAAGCGCCGCCTACACCGGAGATATGGAAAGTGGCAACAAACAATAAAATAAAGTTGGAGAGACCCTAAGTTCCACTTAGAACACAGGGAATGAAAAAAAATAATAATAATTAATCAAATAAATATCCAAAGTAATAATAATAATAATTTAAATTTCACCTACAAGATTAACTTGACCCATGAAAAAATCTTTAATTAATGGAGCTTTTGAAGTAGTCGCTACAGATGTCGATGGAGGTACTGAGATACTTTCAATCTCAGGAGGTAATTGTCTTGGCCAAACACGTTTAGGCTTTTCTTCTTCTGTACTGCTTAAATTTTCTTTACATTCAGTAGCGATTTGATTTGAAAACAAACGATGACATTTACCAGGGGTTTTGATAATCCTTCCTAAGATGTTAACACCATTATGTACAACTCGGTGAATTGAAAGGTTATTATAAATTCTGTAGGTGAACTAAAATAAAATATTTTAAAAAAACTGTATAGTAAGACTAGTGAAAATGCTACGTAATTTGTAGTGTTTACAAATAAAGATGTAGAAACTGGACTTTACCTTGATGTCAAGCACGAAATCAAACGAATCCTCGTGAACGGTACCTCTCATAGAGTGTGATATATATGTATATATATTCTTGGCCTTCGACAATGTACTTTAACACTGACTCCTGAAGTACCTAAATCTTTATCAACCTCATTCAACAGATGGCTGGCTATATGACAGTGTCACATATCAGGTGACCCACAGTGGAAAACTCAGTGAAGCTTCTGAAATAAAATTCAGGATTAAGACAAGGCTGGCAGCCTATTATCACCGATGGTATTCCTAATTGTGGTCAACTGAATCATGCGGAAGACTTTTTGAGTAGCAAGAAGACAGGAATACGCTGCATTGACCGATAAGAAGACTCTAGAAGATCTGGATTTCACGCGTCGGTGATTTATATTTACTCTCATACAAAAACTCGAAGACTTGCAGACGAAAAGCAGCAAACTAGCTGAAGACACGATCAGCGAAGACAGGACTACAGGTGAACATGGAGAAGACGGAGGCGATAAAGATAACCAACCAACCAACAGCAACAACAACCAGTGCAGTCAAAAGTCGACAGATACCCTAATCATGTTAACTACAACTGTGTATACAAAGTTACGTGTATCTGCGGGAGCAGTTACATTGGGAGAACAGAAAGAAGATGGGCACACACACCTCCGACTTTTTGTGAATACGTGCCGAAAAGCCTACGTTTCAAGGGAACAAACTCTTATAATAGCGCTATTACCAGACATCTCCTTGATACGGGTCATGAGGTGGAAATCGCGAAAACCTTAAAAATTATCAATAGACAAAGGAACTCGATTCTCCTCAAGTTCGCCAAAGCAATTTCTATTAAACGCTGGAGACCAGATTTATGTGTTCAGAAAGAAACAGTTATTAGCCTTTCCTTGCCCTGGTAACTGGATGTCTTTATTCTCTTCAATTTGATTAACAAAATCTTTGGCTCTAACCCCACCTCTATGATACAGTGTAATTTTGCTTGTCTCTTGTTTCTATGGCTTGAGTTGAACTCAGTACATTGTTACCTAATTTATTAATCACTCTGTATCTAACGCATATTTCGTCTTTATTGCGTAACTCTTTTACCATTGTATGCATACATTTATTTTGTTTAAACTTGAACTGCCTGTGTAAAAACTATATAAGCGCAATTTTCTGAGCACTGTTCACTGATTTCGGAAGCTTCTGTCAACTGACATCAGGAAGGAAAATTTGTAAGTATGTTAAAGCCTTTCTGTACAGAAACCTCATAAATTGATTTAGGCTGTAAGCAAGCAGCTGAGCTGATGAGAAGCCAACGAAATAAGCAATGATGGTACCATATTATTCTGAACAAACCACTGGATGAATACGCCTTTCGAACACAATATATTTTTATTGCTGCTCATAACCATTTCATCAATTATAATCACACAACTTTGAAACTTGAGTTTCATAGTTTTGTCCTTTATTCTTTCCCATTCGTCATCGTAGACGGGGTGGTAGAGTAGAATTTTCCAGATATCTGGATGGAAAGGTATAAGATTGTCAGGTCAAATATACATAAGTCAAAGTAGTAGAACAGGTGCAGTCAAACTAGTCGAGCATAAAAACCTAGTAGCAAAATCTAGATTAGGTAACCCGACACTAAGATAAGAAATCTGAAGAATAGTTCAGCTATAGCACTCACTACATGCAATTACACACAACCATACCAATAGGCTGGATGGGATAAGATGACGACAGTTTCAAAGTTTAATACAACTAACAGGGTGGAGGGAGAGACTGATAAGTGAAGCTTTATTTATCGAATCAGCTGAAGAGAATACATGTAATAGGAGTGATCCAACACCTGTCCATTTAGATATCTGGAAAATTCTACTCTACCACTCCGTCTACGACGACAAATAGGAGAGAACAAAGAGAACTATAAAAATCAAGTTTTGAAGTTGTGTGATTATAATTGATGAAATGATTATGAACAATAAATAAATTGTGTTCGAAACTTTGTCATCCAGTAAATAATGCTCTTTCACTGTGTGATACGTCCAATAAACAAACTAATATGGAGTTGAGTTTTGAAGGTAGACAATAAATAATCACACCCCATCTTTTTGTGTAAGTCAGAGAATCATGGAACACCAAGAAATAATCAACAGGTATTTCGTTCCAGTTTTTGAATCTTCATCAGTGCGCACTCATGTGACCAAATTCAAGGCCTTTAGGTTACACGATTACTTTGTTGACCATTTTTAACCACTTGATTGGAATTCAATAACCTGTGAATGCCAACTACTGTCAATTCGTGACACAGTTCTAGTGTCGACCAATGCCACTGACGAGAATTCGCTTAATACTGGCATGGTAAATACCACCCGCCTGACTGGTTTCAACATAGAACGCTGCGCAGAGAGGTAGCAGTGTGAGGAGTTGCAACAATCCATGTAGCACACAAAGCAAGAGAAGAGTATAAAAGGAGGTTCAAAACACACATAATAAAGAGAAGTGTGAGTGAAGGAAAAAGAATAGTAAGGTGGAAAAACAATAGAGTTTCATTGGATATTGTAAATCACAAAGTGTGAATGCACCTAGGCCAGCCATTGAGAAGGATGATGAGGCACATCACCAACTGTTTCTCGAGAACACCAACTAGGAAGTCTACACCTCCATATATATGGCTTAAACTAACTGTTACGGACATCACTGAGTGATGCCAAGTTTCAGTTTGACCACACCCCTAACCTTTTTCCAACTTAATCCAACGTCAACTAACATTACCCGTCCAGATTGGCGATAGCTGGCTAGGCATGTGCAACACATATCCTAACTATCTCAATCAATGTAACTTCACAGCCTCGTCGACTGACTTTCCCTCGTTACCTAGCACTTGACCGATGCGTAACCTCAATATTTCTCACTCTATTATACCACCTAACACGGAAGACAGAATGCAGGCACCAGTCCCTTATCATGAGGACCTCAGGACATCCATCTGGGGTGGAAACCATTCCCAGATTTATTGTCAACTTCTAGGCTAACACAACTTCAAAAGTAAGATGTTATGTCAACAGGCTTCAATTGGAACAAGTGTCGCAATGTGTATATATATATATCTCCTAGTGTATCTCATAGCAAGAAGTAATTCAAAGTTGGTATATAAATTGACACAAAAAGAGAACCATATTCATGATGATAAGATAAGCACAAAAATTTCAAATAGTACCAAAATAATAAAACGTCACGAATTGGTAGAAGTTCTAATTCAAGCAGTGGATAAAGACCCTAACATCAGTGAACTGAAATCATTCAGCCAGAGAATCGTCAAGCCGGCAATCTAGTATAGATTGGTTGAAAGAAAATTCAGTTTGTTGTTATCAGGACCACTGTCTAGAATCCACGGGCAATCGAATTCCATCTCAGTGGTTAATTGGTCAAAAGGCTGGCCTCATGAACTGTAAACCCTGGGTTCAATTACCCCGTGGGATCATGAGTACGTACTGCTGAAAAGCTTCAAACTAGGATGAAACAGCCTTCCAGGAGGTCTGAGGTTTTCAATGTTAGCTGATGATCTAACTTGAAAGAAAAAAATTTTTTTTCACTCCTTCAGTCTCTCCTCTGTTGAAAACCAAAAATCACACTGAACAGCTGATTTGTCCTAGTTTGAGAGACTCTTCAGAGAAGATTTCTGTATACATTTGTCACTTTCTATGAATATAAACAGTACGTGTATAAAAAGTGAATCACAGGAAATGATGGCTAAAGAATTCCTACTCTTACCTCATAAGATAAAGAACAGAAGACAGAAACACATTACTTAATATTAATAAGTAGTATATATATATTCCATATACAGTTATATCTAGGGTTGCATTCAGTATTCATATAAGTGGTCATTACGAGTTGATCACGGATTGATATCAGTTAGAGAAACATTGAAAACCAACACTGGAGTATTGGACAGCTGTTTCATCCTAGTTTGTGGATCATCGGCAGTACGCACCCACTGCATCGGGGTTCGAACCCAGGACCTTCCGGTTACAAGCAAGAAATCTCATATACCATTACTCAGCCACTAGGTCCCGATTCAATGGCCACTGCAGTTAGTGACTTAGCGCGACCACAACCAATATCGTCGGTGGGACATCCATCCTCACACTTGACATTTGGATGGACCTCACTGGTCACAACTTCTCACTAGAACTTCAGGAAACTCCATCTCTGTAGCAAGTCACTAGCGAGCATCAGATGAAAAAATTTTTTCTATAGTTTGGTCTGTAAGGATTAGATTTGTTCTTACGAGTTGATCACGGATTCTGACATCAGCGTACTGGCGATGATTCCCAAACTAGGCTGACGAAACAGCTGGCTGTCCAGTACTACCTGTGACTGGTTTTCAATGCTTCTCTAACTGATGATATCAATCCGTGGTCAAACTCGTAAAAAAAACAAATCTAATCCTTACAAACTGATCATAGGAAATAAGTGGTTATATTTTATGATTAAAGCTGATTAAAGGACTATACCATCCTGAGAAGAATGTTGAAGATAGTTAGTAGGACTAGTGGTGTAAAACTCAGTCAGCTCGTCACTACATTAGTTGATAGGCATCTGAATACATGCGAAAAATGGTCAAAAAACCATACTCTCCGACCCCCAACACCCCCTCTATTCCCGACTCTCGCCTTGTATCTCATCAAGTAGAACCAAAAATCAGTATAAAATAATCTATGCTCGTACAACCAAGTACAGGAACTCAACGATACCATACTTGGCCCCTATTCTAAGTGACAGAGACAATGTTAGGCGCGGAACCTATGACTTGCTTTGTTGTTAATAACATAATTTTAGGCTCTCTTATTTCTTTCTTATTTTGTATTCTATAGTGAACTCCTTCTTAAACATACTTAGCTACCTAAATTATTAACATTGGCTTACTTTTTTGTACTTTACTCTATTCCTTCTTTTGTGTATCTACTGGTTCCGACTATATTAGCACTATGAGTATTAAAAAATTGTCCTGTCGTTAACCATCATGTAATTATTAGTTTTTGTGGTTGTTGTTTTTTGTTCGGCAATATTAACTGACAATCTTGGTTGTGAATGCCAATATCACCATCTAAAACTTTTGTATTATGCAGGATTACTCACACTACCACTACAAACACCACATTAGACCTGACAATAAAAACAACAACCCTGAAATGTCATTTTATGATTGTTTAGTGTTGTTTCAACCAAATTAACTGATCCCCTTGGCGATAAACATTCTTAAATATCATTTCATAACTTCTTGTATGACTATAGCTTTAATTGTCACCATGCATAATCATATCATAGCTTCCACTAACCAATACTGAGATATTATTTATTATGTTGTTTATTTTCCTTTCTACCTCTTGGTATTTTTTTCGCATTTTTTTATTATTTTTTTTTGCTGTTGTTGTCTTTATATTTATTTTTTGAAATACTCCTTTTCAATGTTTGATAAAATTAGATGCAAATATTGTTGATATGTATGTGCTGAAACTACTTCGCTACTACGGGGTGCCACCGACAATAATACATCTCATCCAACAGCTATACGACAATGCTGCATGCCAAGTAATCCACAATGGGAAACTTACGGAACCCTTCGAAGTGAGGACAGGAGTAAGACAAGCTGGCTGCCTACTATCACCAATGATTTTCTTGATTGCAGTAGACTGGATAATGCGACAAACAGTGTGCAATGAGGAAACAGGCATAAAATGGACACACACAAAAAACTTGGAGGATCTGGACTTCGCCGATGATATATGTCTGATTTCCCACAAACTGGAAGACATGCAAGCGAAAAACAACAAGTTAGCAGAAGAAGCATCAAAGATAGGACTTCAGGTGAACATAGAGAAAACAGAGGTGATGAAAATCCCTGGGCAACACCACCAACAGCAACAACAACAACTGACAACAATCAGCATAAATGGGAGGAACCTGAAAGAAACAACCTCTTTTACCTACCTGGGAAGCATCGTTTCAACTACAGACAGAACTGACGAGGATATCAAAGCAAGGATAGGGAAAGCAAGACAAGCTTTCACTACTCTCAAGTCTGTGTGGAGGTCAACAACACTCAGCATCAAAACTAAGATCCGGATTTTCAACTCCAATGTGAAGTCAATGCTACTTTACGGATCAGAGACTTGGCGCGTCATAAAGAGCACCTCAAACAAACTACAGACCTTCATTAACAGTTGTCTTCGCTCAATACTCAAGATCAGATGGCTGGCCAGAAAAGATCAGCAACAGAGATCTCTGGCAATGAGCGAACTAACCAGGAACCGATTGTGAAGCAAATAGGCAGGCAGAATGGAGATGGATTGGAGGCCATACTCTGAGGAAACCATCAAGTAACATCACTAGAGAAGCCATTGCTCCAGTGGAACCCGAAAGGGAAGCGGCGAGTTGGTCGTCAGTGCGAGGGTGACTTGGAGGAGGTCATGTGAAGAGGAGATGAAAGCGTGTGGGCAGACTTGGAGTCAGGTGAAGACTCTAGCAGAGAACCGAACGCAATGGAGACGCAAGGGCTGAAGCCCTATGTTCCTGTAGGAATTAAAGGATACAATAATAATAATAATAATAATGTGCTGAAAATTCCACATTGTACCACTAATACTGTTTCTGGAATAAAGCAAATTATTATTATTATTATTATTACTAAAAAAAATAATACATATATACATACATGTACACAATGCACAAATTCATACAAATTTTCAACAACAAAAAAGATATAAGTACGCTATGAATAATGTTTATTATGCACTATACACTATAGAATATACAAATATACACTTTTCTAAATGTACATAAATATATACATATACATATATAATGAGTAACTAATATATACTAATTATTTCTTCTCTTTACTATCACCCTCAGGAGAAGAAGACGAAGAAGATTTCGACAAGTCAGATGATGATGACGAGGTGGAGGAGGTGTTCGAGTCGACAGCTAAAGGTGAACGTGTCACCATGACATCTTTATATTCTCCAGAGGTTAATAATTTTGACATAGTATTATTATCATCATTATCTTTTGGTAGAAGTAATTCTTCGGTATTTTCATTTTCTCTAGCTATTAATAACTTGGTAGCTTTACGATCAGCATCCTCGTAATCATCAAGACGGCGTGGTGGGATTAGAGCTGCAGCTACATAACGTCCTTCTGAATTCAAATAGTTGAATGTACCTATAGCACTATGCTGTAGAAAAAAATTGTTTTAAATAGAGAAAAACAAGACGTTATAATCAATACATTGAACATTTGAATAGGCTTTCTTTGTAAATTCTTTTTTAATTTTTGATTATAACTTGATTTCACACACCGTAGTTTTGGTACAAGTATGGGGATATTCAGCATGTGATATAGGTAGTTCAAATATTGCAGGCCGACCATTGATATTAGGGGTACGTCGGCAGACAGAGGATCGAACCCCGGACCACATGCATGATCAGCGAGAGAGTCCTAACCGCTGTGCCACAGACGCAGTACAATTCAAAATGAATTATACAAAAAAACATGCATAGATGCACTGTTGACTTGTAATAATAAATAGTTTATGCAGGTCAAATAAGTAATCATTGATATATGCCATCAACACCTTGAGCAGCAATCTTCGTATGTTTGGCATGCGATTCGCCCCTGTAAAATGTAAGATGCTACTACAGGAATGACTGGACTACGTCAACTCCTAGCTTAGTGATAGGGAGTAAAGTGATAGAACATGTTGACCACTTCACCTATTTGGGAAGTTGTATCAGCCCCAACGGAATGATTGGTGACGAAATCTCAGAACGGATCCCAAAAGCTCGAGCTGCTTTCGCTAACTTACACCATCTCCGGCGTAGGCGTGACATCCGGCTATCAACCAAGGGACGTGTGTACTGCTCAGCAGTTCGCTCCGTCCTTCTCTATGGCTCTAAAACATGGCCAATACGAGTTGAAGACATGAAAAGGTTGACGGTTTTTGATCATAGATGTCTACGATCTCCTTCTCACGTTAGGTGGCATAATAAGGTAAGAGTAATGTTGACGTTAGGCGTGGAGTGTTGGGCAAAGAGGGAAAATCAATCGAAGAGGATATAAAGTTACATAGATTGAGATGGCTAGGTCACGTGCTGCGCATGCCTAACCATCGCCTGCCCCGACGGACGGGCATTACTAGCTGATATAGGTGCAGGTGGGAAAAGAGTAAGTGGTGGCCAAACAAAGACATGGCCTCATCAATCCATGAAATCCTTGACAGTTAAACTGAGTGAGGTAGGGAGATGCAGACTTCCGGGTTGAGGCCCTCGGGACTCTAAGAATCAATGGCTGGAGACACTAGGTGACATGGTTCAAAATCGTTGTCAATGGCTTACGCAGATGTATTCAGTCTCTTGGGTAATCTTTCATATTCCTTTCTACCATTACTCATTCTATTTCACTCTTATACTTGTCGAAACTCTATTGATTCTCTTCACTCATATTCTTGTCTACCTTTGTGTGCTATTTGGAACGTGGCAACTCTGACTGCTGCACTTCGGTGCCAACTTCTATGTTGAATCCAGACAGACAGATATGCCATCAATCAAGTGAGTCTATTTAACAGTAGTTCTTCCTAACTGACAGCTACTATTTTGACATAGTCATCTGGCTTGAATGTCGTAGTCGTCATCCAACAAGCTATGCTAACTGGAACAAATGTTCATAACGGTCCTTAGACGCCAGAAAAGTTGGTTAAATAGCGCTTAGACTGAAAGCAATTACCATAATATTGTAACTAGTTTACACCAGGTTGAGATTTCGAGGGTGGATTCGTGCTTCTAGTGAGCAGGGGTGTAAGAACAGTAAGGTGTTTAGTTCAGACAACCAGTTATGCTGTCTCTCTTTTCATAAGAGGAAGGGTGAGAAAGGTCAATCCCTAAAATAATACGTCTCGATTTGCCATGCGGTTATCCGTACTATCATTATTATTATTATTATTCCCTTGTATTCTGAAAGGAACATATGGCTTCAAAAACACATCTTCACTTTGTTCTATTTCCAGCTGTCCTCTTCAGCTGGCTAACCACACTGACGACCAACCCGTCGATTCCCATTCGGATTCCACTCCAGCGACGGCGTGCATTGCACGCGATGTCGTTCGACGGCCTCCTCAGTGGCGTATGTCCAATCCAGCTCCATATCCTCCTACATATTTGTTCAGCAATCAGCTCTTGGTTGGTTTGTTCCCACAGTTTCTTGCTGCTGATTCTGTCTGACTGACCAATTGATCTTTAATATGGAGCTAGCGAAGACATTTGTTGATAAGAATCTGCAATAACCTGTTGGAAATGCTTTCGTAACACGTCAAGTTTCCGACCCGTATAGAAGAACTCACTGACTTCACATTTGTGTTGAAAATCCAAATCCTGTTAGTTTTTCTGGCTGAGTGAGTGCAGAAGATTTCTAAACTGTTTTCAGATTGATGACGGCGTAAATTGCCTTTCCGATGCTGTCTGCTTTTGATACCTTCATCCGTTCTGTCGCCTGTGGTTCAAACGGTGCTTCCTAGCCACATAAGTGAAGCAAGTAATCTCTTTCAAATCACCCCCGTTGATGGTGATTGGTGCTGGTTGTTGTTTTTGTTGTTGCTGCTGTTGATTGGTTGGTCACCTTCATCACCTCCGTCTTCTCCTCGTTCACCTGCAATCCTGTCTTCGCCGCCTGCTAGCGTCTTCTGTCAATTTGCTGGTCTTCGCATGCCTACAAGTCTTCGAGTTTGCGTGACATTAAACATAAATTATCCACACCCGAAATCCAGATCTCTTACTGTCGTCTTATCGGCCCACCGTATTCCTGTCTTCCCAGTCCAACACTATAAAGAATATCATCACTTATCCATGGCCCGCAACAAAGTCTTCATATGGACACAACTTCAAAGAAGCCATGAGTGATCTTCAGTTACGCAAAACTGAAGCTTTCTCTTTCTCAGATATTTCGAGAACACAGAGTTCCGTAAAGAGTTTCTTTTCGGTGAATTCATTTACTCGGCTGTATATTGCAATTATATATATATATATATATGTATATAAAATTTTGAACTATTGGTTTGTAGGGATTTTTTGTTTGATTGGTTGGAGGATTACATCATTAACTGATATCGGTTACAGAACCATTGGAAAACCAACTGGCAGTGCTGGAAAGTCAGCTGTCTCATCAGCCTAATCTGGGACTCTTTAATGGTACGCATCCACTGCTAGTGTTCAAACCCACGATCTCCCGGTTACAAGGTTAGCCAGCTCATGGACCATTAAGCCACTGGGACACGATCCAATGGCCCATGATTCCTAACTTCTGTACTGTACATCATAATAATAATAATAATATGTTCACTATCCATTATCACCACCTAATGGAATCTTATTGAAATTATACAAAATATGGAGAGAGAAAAAAAGAGAACACCCTTACCGTTGGCATCACTTCAACGCATAAACGATGCTTCCAGCATATGTCTAAAATCCTACGATAATCCACCATACTTTTCGTTTCTCCTTTACCAATTATCAAAACTTCTTTAAAGAGGAAGGAATGAATAAGATATTTTCAAAAAAAGAAAACCGCAACATACCGATTGGAGGTTCTAGCATAAAAAATAATGATAATGACTTTTCGGTAATATCTAGAGCATTATTAACCTTTAAAAGGATAGAAAGATAGAAATTGAAATAAATAAATAAATAAACAATAACAATATTTGAACAAACCTACATGCCAGCATAAAGCATTCCGAGGAAATGCAGCACATGGTCCAATAATTTTAACACCACTGCTCAATACAAAACCATTTTCATTGTAGGCAGAAAAATATACCCCATAGGAACCATAATTGACTAAGTCAACTTCAACACCTTTAGAGTTTTTAAACATCATAATCCCATTGCCTCGATCATCGAAACCTACACTATAATTTTTTAAAATTGTTTAAATATAAATAAAAAACAAACTAATATATGCTTACGCTAAACGACGACGGACTGAGTGAATGTTTGTGAATCGTCTGAAGAATAGAAAAGAAGAATGCCTCATTTGAAGAAGCCTTTATTGACAAATAATTTCTTGCTTGACAGCCAGTTTGAGGTATTCAGAGTACCTAAGATATTTGAAACAATCATTTTAAAAAAATGATATATATATATATATATTAATATTTGCTTCAATATTTTCATGTGCTCTTTTAACTCATGAATAATCGCCATCCAGATATTATTGAGTGCGTCGGTGGCACAGCGGTTAGGACGCTCACCGATCATGCATATGGTCCGGTGTTCGATCCCCGGCCACAGACGCACTCCTCATTTACCTCACTAAGCCAGAAATAAAAGCTGGTAAAGAGGAAAGGTTGGGTGTGAGGCTAGCAACCCTATCCTGTAAAAATAAACACCATTGCTACCGAAACTTCAGGCCTCCAGTTTGAAGCCCTATGTTCCACTGGGAACGTAAAGGAATATAAAAAAAAGAAATCAGTGAAAATGTCTTGAGAACGGTGCACTCAAGTCGTAACATTGACAATTTGCAATTGTGCACATGATACGTAGATGATGACATTTCTGTCGTTTGCGACAACAGTTATGAGCAAAATCAGTTGTTAAAAATATTCATCAACTGCTATTCAGTAATAAAATTCACTCTAGAAATGGACGACCTGATGGAACCTTAAGAAGGTCAATCCATAGAAAACCCACTTGGAACAGTCAACTAACAAATTTCTACAGTTGGCTACCTATTAAGCGGTAACAAAATCTGATTAAATCCCTGGTCACTCGGATCCGATACATTTGCATTCCTGACGCCCTGGAAGCAGAACTGGATTTTCTGAAAGAAACCTTCATCTGAAATGGATACCCACCAAGATTCATCGACAAGAATTTCAGACCAAAGGTCCAGAGGAACGAAACATCACTGCTTTCAAAAAAGATACTTTACATGAATCCGGATCTCAAAGGAGACTTAGCTTGCAATATCCTGAAACGAAGAATTTCAGAATCTTTGAAAAGAAAATTTTTCGCAGCAACGCTAAGAGTAGTGTTCTCCAGTCATCCATTGGTTTGCAGAAGTCTTAAGGACAAGATCCCGCGTCTGACCTCTCCTGTTGCTGTGGAGCCAGGTACAGTGGTCGCTCGACGCGTATCCTGTCTAAAAGAATTCCAGAACACTATCCCGCATGACTGCAAAAAGGTTATAGTGGCTGTATAAGAAGTTGGATTATATGGTTCTCAATATGAACCTCAGTGGGTGGGTACTACTGATGATTCCCAGACTAGGATGAAACAGCTGTCCAGTACTCTCTGATTTTCAATGGTTCCCTATTTGATATCAATCACAGGTTAAACTCGAAGAAAATATTATAGTTAAATGTTTCCTTGGCATAAAAGTGCCTATGGTATCCATCTCATTATTCAATTATTCTGATAATTGAAAGATTACTAAACAGATGTTGACTGTTGAGTACGCCTAGTATAAATGATAACTGACAACAGTACGGAAATTAATGCAACTCATATTCCAAGTTATACAATTTGTTATATACACTAGTGAAGAAATGTCACGAAACTAATCACCCGAAACAAGTGAGTCGGTGGACGCTCGCCTACCATGCACATGGTCCAAGGTTCGATCCCCGGCCGACGCATACCTGATATCTATGGTCGGCCGGCCTAAATTTGGGCTACCGATATCACATGCTAAAAATTCCATACTTGTATCAAAAGTACTGTGTGGAGTCAAGCTATAATAAAAAAATAAATAAATAAATCTTCCACTACAGGCTATGAGGGCTGATGATATTAGCCAGTCGTTTAGGCAAAAGTAGGTGGTGGAGGGGGATTCGAACCCAGGACGGACTAACTGAAGGCCGTGTGTTAAAGCCAATGAGCCACCTTGTTATATAACTGACTGTATGGTGCTGCCAAAAATGACAAATTAGCTATTATGGAAGTCTGAAGGTGACACTTATAAACAAATACGTTTGTTGTACGATTAGTCATTCACGATAGTAAGGCCAACCAGCAAAATAACGACAAATTGCGCGAAAACTCTGACAACCGATGGTCCATTGAAGCTATCGATGAAAAGCCAGCCAACATGCGGATAAACGAAATACAGCTTTTACTCAAAAGTGTATAAACAAAAACAAAACTGTTAAACCATGCATTTATGGTTATTGATGTTTTCAAAGGTATATGGAGTTAGTCACTCTAAAATGCTTAAAGCATACTGATATTAGCTACAAGTGAAACAACTTTATTTCCTGATTAATGTCATAATTTGACTCAGCCAAACATGAAGTATGTCAGAGGAATTGAATGAAACTCTTCAGAAGGCAACAATTTCTAAGCAAATGTAGACAACAAAGCTTTTACCTAAAAGTTTTCCTAAATGATTTTTGGGACTCAAATGATTTTGAGTAAATTTTGGTCCTATACGCAGATGACTTAAAAATTTGGAGAGAGAGAGAGAAAGGGCGACGGTGATACGCCCACGTTGCAAGAGGACCTCAACAAATTGTCAGAGTGGTTCACAGAATGGATGCTCCTTACCAATGTCGCAAAATGTGCAACCATGCGCATCGGAAAAGTAAGCATCAGCTCCTGCGAACTAGAGGGAATAACAGTTCCATCAGTTCAGACTCATTTGGATTGAGGTGTCATAGTTAGTCACGATTTAAAAATTACAGTACACTGTTGCGCGGTGGTTGCACGTAGTTTCAGATTCTTATGCGCAATTCGCACAGCCTTTACTAGAATCACCAGAGATACGCCCGCCTCTTTATATGCATCTCTGGGGAGGTCAAGACTGGCAGCCAGTCCTTGTGCCAGAGGGCTCACATATTCCAGAAAGGGTTCATAGGAAGGCAACGCGTATAATTCTTAGCATGACTAATTTATCATAAGAGGAGAAGCTAGACAGTTTAAATCTTTTCTCCCTGTCATACCACAGGCAGAGAGGAGATTTAATCACAATGTTTAAAATTTTAAGTAATGACTACGGACCTGACCTATTCGCTCTCTTCCTTCCCACCAGTTCGAAACACCCTACAGGATATAGCAGGAGAGTTCAAAAGCCAAGAAGAAATCATATTGCTGTTGAATACTGGTTCTCACACCGAGCTAAAAACTCTTGAAACTGACTCCCAGAAGAAGTGGTGTCTGCAATCTCAACTGATCAACTCAAGAAGGGTCTAAACAAGCAAAGAAATGTACTAGAAAACGATTAACATATGCTTTAAGTCTTCTATCCTAAACCAATAAATCTGAAATTATCAACGCGGAGTTCGGAATCAGTTTAAAATTATTGTAGGCCTCCGAGCTAGCATTGACTTTGGGCGCACTTTGGGGGAAGACTTCAGGAACACTGTAGACACTTTGGGACATACTTAGGGTATACCTCAGACTCTTTAGGACCACTGAAGACAACTGTCTCACTTTCATCGATGCACCCTAGGTTTTTGACTAGAAATTCTGAAGTCTCAATGGGACAAAACGGGGGTAAAGAAGGGTTAAAATAGGGCAGATTTCACATAAAAGGTGGGAATGGTAAAATATTAGTTAAGTGGTGGACACAATGATGAAAATTCGGCAAAATTCTGTCAATGAACCCTGAGCCTGCCTCAAAGTTCTGCAGTACTCCCGAAGATTGTCCCAAAGTATCTGCAACGCACTCAAAGTCATTCCTTCCTGGGAAGCTTGGTCAAATAATGGAACATGCTCGTTTTTCGCCTATTATAAACCCGTGTTTTACCATTTTCGTTTGACTGGGTGTATCCAGAAGAAAATGCAGGTTGGGTTGGGGCTTGTAATAAGCAACACTTGAAAATGTTCATTACATCCCTTAATCTATCGACAAATAGATTTTCTAGAAAATCTTACCTTCGATTTCGTTTGACGAATTTTGCGTTGGCTGTTCATACCAGGTGCGCGAAATCAGAATACTCAGCTCAGCTAATCACAATATTTTGTAACGCACACGTTTGTATAGGGTAGTTTTAATTAGGTTTTAGCTAATCAAAAATTTTAACTTTTATTGTTGATGTTTGATGAAAGCTCGAAAAGGTGTTAGAAGTTGATTAAACTATGACATTTATTACGGAATCTCCGTGGTTCCAGATGGATATCATTTGCCATAGGTGCTTGAATTTCAGTGTGTTATTATTATTATTATATGACCGAGTGGTGAAGGATCTAATCAGATTTTGTTACCGCTCAATAGGTATTCAACTGTAGAAATTCGTTAGTTGACCATTCGAAGTGGGTTTTCTAGAGATTCACCTTCTTAAGGTTCCATCAGGTCGTCTTGTTAGTTACACACCGAGAAAGGGAATTTCAGATTTACATTACATTTCTAGGGTGAATTTTATTGCTGGCTGTCAAGCAAGAAATTATTTGTCAATAAAGGCTTCTTCAAATGAGGCATTCTTCTTTTCTATTCATCAGACGATTCACAAACATTCACTCAATCCGTCGTCGTTTAGCGTAAGCATATATTAGTTTGTTTTTTATTTATATTTAAACTATTTAAAAAAATTATAGTGTAGGTTTCGATGATCGAGGCAATGGGATTATGATGTTTAAAAACTCTAAAGGTGTTGAAGTTGACTTAGTCAATTATGGTTCCTATGGGGTGTATTTTTCTGCCTACAATGAAAATGGTTTTGTATTGAGCAGTGGTGTTAAAATTATTGGACCATGTGCTGCATTTCCTCGAAATGCATTATGCTGGCATGTAGGTTTGTTCAAATATTGTTATTATTTATTTATTTATTTCAATTTCTATCTTTCTATCCTCTTAAAGGTTAATAATGCTCTAGATATTACCGAAAAGTCATTATCGTTATTTTTTATGCTAGAACCTCCAATCGGTATGTTGCGGTTTTCTTTTTTTGAAAACATCTTATTCATTCCTTCCTCTTTAAAGAAGTTTTGATAATTGGTAAAGGAGAAACAAAAAGTATGGTGGATTATCGTAGGATTTTAGACATATGCTGGAAGCATCGTTTATGCGTTGAAGTGATGCCAACGGTAAGAGTGTTCTCTTTTTTTCCTCTCCATATTTTGTATAATTTCAATCGGATTCCAATAAGTGGTGATGATGGATAGTGACCATATTATTATTATTTCCTTTAATTCCTAGAGGATATAGGGGTTCAGCCGCGCGTCTCCATTGCGTTCGCTTCTCTGCTAGAGTCTTCACCTGGCTCCATGTCTGCCCACACGTTTTCATCTCCTCTTCACATGACCTCCTCCAAGTCACCCGCGCACTGACGATCAACTCGCCGCTTCCCTTTCGGGTTCCACTCTAGCAATGGCTTGTCTAGTGATGTCACTTGATGGTTTCTTCAGAGTATGGCCAATCCATCTCCATTTCTTCCTGCTTATTTGTTGCACAATCAGTTCCTGGTTGGTTCGCTCATTGCCAGAGATCCCTGTTGCTGATGTTTCCTGGCCAGCCATCTGATCTTGAGTATTGAGCGAAGCCAACTGTTAATGAAGGTCTGTAGTTTGTTTGAGATGCTCTTTATGACGGCGGTACGTTCGAAATTGGTGACATTTTTGCACGTGTTTGCTCTGATATTCATTTACTGCTTATAGTCATATAATCCCTGTAATTATGGTCCAAATTTCTAAAAAACGTGTTCGTAGAAACACAGTTGTTTTAGATAGTGCCTCAACCTCGGTTATAACTGCATTACCACCCTGTAATACAGCATTAACTACTAGCTCACAAAATGGCTTGAGTGCAATTCTAACTCCTGTGATACAGATGAAAGATGTTCTGTTAGAGAACTCTGAGATCTGTAAATTAGACCTCCTTGTGAAAGATATCCAAAGGCAAGTAAATGAACTTCAGAAAAAATTAGGTCAGTTTGATAGAATGTCACTGCCATTGTCAAATATCACGGAGAGCAGTTCTGATATTGGCCAGGTTAAGTCTTTGCTGGATGTAACTCAAAGCAAGCTTTCGGATTTAGACCCAGTAGCCTGTATGTTAAGAAAGCATTCTAAAATGTCTCCAGACACCCTAAATAAGGCTGAAAATATGATTGACTGCTTGGCTGCGGAGGTGATGAAGCGTATAACCTCTTCTCACCAGGCTATAGTTTACAATGTCCCAGATTCTCTTCCTCTGAAGACTGTAAAACACAAAATCCTGATTTGTTGCGGCATGGCCAGTGTTCCATGTGAATGCAAAAGACTTCGTAAAAAGTCTAACCAGGCTAACTGTCCCATTATTTTTAAGTTCAGTAATTCCCTTGATTCTAGTAAGTTTATTAAATGCCAGGATCACCTAAGACTGAACGGTAGTTATAAGTCCATAACCATAGCTCAAGATAAAACACCGTGTCAGCGCAGAATGATGCGGAGTAATAACCTGGTCACCTCCTCTAGCGTAGAATTACCCAAAAACGATCGTGCACAGCAACAGTCACCTAATGCTGACACTAGCATTCAGCAGACCACACAACAACCACGCATGGCAATGGAACTAGGGACTGATTTAGATACCAGCACCCCTGTAAATAACGTCTCACCAAAAGATGTTAAAATAGGTAGAACTGTTGCAAGCCGTTCCAAGAAATTCTTACCCAAACGTGGTGACCTCACCACAATGAACAAATTTCGCCGGGTTGAGACTAATGATGGGGAAGAATACTTTGTATTCAATAAGCTTGCTGAGAGTAAGACTGTCAAAAAACCCTCACCTCTTACGAAAAGTTCCTTTCGAAACACAAGTATATCTGGTGGTTTTCAGTATGCTCCACCTTATAGAAAGTCAGGCCCAAAAACCCCCAAAGTCTTACAACCAAAGCACCTTCCCTTTCAATTTCCTTTAAGTTATAAAACCAACACGAAGGTGTGTACCGGTATGATGGATAGCACGTGGATGGGTAGACCATTTGATGCTATGCTTTTTAACCGTCAACCCAGGCCCAACATCTACTATCCTTATATCCAGGAACAAATGGTAAATTTTCCACGTGTCCCGAATCACTGGTACGACCCATGGCACCTAGGACCACCTCACTGCACTCTAACCCCGATGCACAGACACCCAGTCCAACCCCCGTATCATTCATAAACTCTTGCGTTGTTGACGCACAAACAGAGTTAGGTTATGGTGATATCTTAAGCCAGTTTGTAATATCCCGTGACTTATTCACGATATTGCTAATTAATGCGCGTTCCTTAATCAATAAGATATCTGAACTAAGGGCATTATTATTTATCGCCAAGCCTACTGTAGCTTTGATTACTGAATCATGGTGCTCATACTCTGTACTTGATGTGCATATAGGCATAGATGATTACACTGTACACCGTGCAAATAGAGACAGCAAGCGTGGTGGAGGTTGTCTCATATATATACATAACTCATTCGTAGCCAGTAAGGTGGAAGATGAAATACTGAACGATGTACCTGATTCACTCTGGGTCGTCTTACAAGGAGATAAGTACAAGCTTCTCATAGGCTGTGTTTATCGAGCACCAAGCTCAACCAAAGAAACTGATGCGTTATTAGCTAAATCATTCGCACACGCCTCATCGTTTAGTACTAATTACAAAATAATTGCAGGGGACTTCAATCTTCCAGAAGTCAATTGGTTAAGTAGTTCCGGCCCCCAACGCTTCGACGAATTACTTGCCACTATCGATTGTTATGGATGGCAGCAACACGTCCAGACACCTACTCGTGGTGACAACATGTTGGACCTTGTGTTTTGTCATGACACAATCCCAGTCTCCACCTATGTTGGTAACAGATTTTCCAGTAGTGACCATAGAATGGTGCTCTGCTCTCTGCCTTTCTCACCACTAAATACAGGAAACAAACAGGATTCAGGGAGCTTGGTTTGTCGTAGTTACAAACATACAGACTGGGGATTAGTCCAAGAACTCATTCGACTCTGTCACTGGGATGAATATTTTACCACTGACTCCCTGGAGACTGTAGTGTCCCTATTTTACAGGAATGTTATCCTTTGTCTAGATACTGTTGCTCCTAAGAAGGTAGTGAAATTAAGTAGACACCAAGCTGATTACATTCCGAGGGCATGCCGCAATAAGTTGAGGAAGTTGAAGAAACAGTACTATTCAACTAAGGATATATCACTACTGCACTCAATCCATGAGTCTCTTGAATCTGTCAAGCGCCAACGCTCTCAAAAGGACTTCGACGAAGAATTAAGGGCACTTGAAAGCACCTCCAAAGTTTATAACTTAACAACGCTTCTTAAAAAGCGAATGCAGTCGACGAGGGACATCCCCTATTTACTTCATGACAAAGTTATCTACAATGAGCCTTCCACCATCTGTGAAATATTCAGTGAGTGGTTTGCAAACTTCAGTTTAGAAACGCGCATTCCTGGTGACACCGGCCCCCTTACTAGCTCTTTCCTCGGAAGCATAGTGTTCACCGACCAATTAATAGAACAAGCAGTTAAAAGCCTGAAACCTTCCACTAGCACGGGACCAGATGGCCTTGCTTCTATAATTTTCAAAAACAGTGGGTGTGATATACCCCTACTACTTCTTAAATTCTTCTCAATATCTATGGACACTGGCACTTACCCTAATGAGTGGAAAACTAGCTTCATAATTCCACACCATAAATCCGGTGATAAGGCAAACGTCCGCAATTACAGACCTATAAATATAACCCCAGTTGTCTCGCGAGTCATGGAGAAAGTTGCCAAAGATCAGTTGTCAGACTATCTACTTAAGGAAGATCTTGTTATAAGGTCTCAACACGGATTTCTCAAAAATAGGTCTTGCGTTACTTGCCACTTCGACTTTTTCAACTGCGTCACTAGTAGTCGCGAAGCACGTAAGCTAGTTGTTGTTCTCTACTTCGACATATCTAGGGCATTTGACATGGTATCTCACAGCATTCTCTTTGAGAAGCTGTATTCATGTGGGATTCGCAATCCATTACTGAGCTGGTTAAAATCCTTTCTAAGCAATAGGGTACAAATTACCAAGGTTGGATCTGTGTTGTCTCATCCCAGACAGATCACAAGTGGGGTTGTGCAAGGTAGTGTCCCAGGTCCACTTTTATTTACAGTATACATTAACAGCATTTGCAACTGCTTCACCTCAGGTAAATCATTCCTATATGCTGACGACCTCAAAGTCGTTTACTCCTGCCACGCTCATGAACTAAGCGATATGGTGAATAAAATACATCTTGAACTAAGTAGTCTCGCAACATGGTGTACTGAATCCTGTCTTAAGTTCAACATTGATAAATGCGGCTGGATTTGTATCGGAAACAGTAACCTTGACCTGAATCTTGAAATAAATGGGCGTAAACTAGCCAAGCTCAACTCAGTCGTAGATCTCGGTATCAGATACTCTAGTAACTTAACGTTCTCTGAACAAACTGATTATGCCAGACGTAAAACACGAAGGCTCCTAGGATGCATAACTCGTAATTTCTTTTGTTGTGAAACTAGGGTTTTATTATATAAAGTATGTGTCCGACCTATTTTAGAATACTGCCCGTTTATTCTTAGCGGACTCAGGCAAAATGACAAGCTTAAGTTATAAGGAGTGCAACGGCAATTCACCTTAAGAATTCTTGGTTTAGAAAGTGGTCTCCAATACTATGAGCGTTGCGACAGACTAAGTTTAGAACCACTCTGGAAAAGACGTCTTAAGCTAAACCTGATTTTTTACTACAAGCTAACTAATCTGCTCGTGCACTCCTCCGAGCCAATAATTAAACCTACCGCTGTCATCAGTTACAATCTTAGAAATCATCACAGCCTAGCTGCTATAGAGCATTGTCAGACTCACATGCGGTATAATTTCTTCTTAAATAAGTTTTCAGTCATTTGGAATAGACTACCAGCTGATGTGCGCGATGCAAACACACTCGCAGTTTTCATCTCCTCAGTCACCAGACTGCTCAAAGATGACAGTGCACTTCTGAGTCTGAATCCTACATCCACTTTTTCGTCCAACATAGATATTTTAAGTTCATTAAACGTGTAGTTACAACAAACTACAATTATAAATTGTTATATTATTGGAAGTACATGATAGACATTTTTACACAGGACAACAATATTAGCTCACACAATATAAAAGTTAGCATTACGGGAATAGTTAGTTAGTGCACCAAAATAACTATAATTACTAAACAGAATATAAATGTATGTATACATATTAATCACCCCCTAAGTACTCCACTTGCTTTCTTTTGCGTTGTTGTTGTTTGTCTTCTTTTGTCTCTCACCATTTCAGCTTCCATTTAACTTTTTGAATGAGAACGAAGAATGTAGATATTTGCCCATTTACAATGACAAATGATCTGCAAACATTATTGGTCCCATAACTTACAATTCCCTCGTGAACTGCGCATTGCCTTCACCAACGACGCAACCTGGATTACAGTTGTGAAATATACCTTTATACTAATAAAAAAGTATTGATTTATAATACTTCACGAATGTAACTTATAACATAACTGATCTTGTCTGCAAAATAGCTTGCATTTCTTGAAAACACCCGTTTATAAGAAAATATAAACTACCATTATTATTAGTCTACCTTGAGTACTATTCACTTGTGATGTTACGAAGAAAATGCTGACAAAAGTATACAAGTGGATTACTTATTTTAAATTATTATCAAGAACAAGACTCGATGCCGTACACACCAAAGTTATATGGAGGAATTACTTCAAGCTTTATTTTTTTCCCAAGTATTTGTAATCCATCCAAAACATACTTGGGTTTTTTTTTGTTAATGCGAAGACAATATTTCTATATTTCTTGATGTGCTCCATTGAATGACTAGTTATCATATTGTTCCCATAGACAAAATGACTGCAACCTTATAATTTTACCATGAACCAAATTTATGTAATTTAAATAATACTTATCCATGCCTGTACAACTGGTGTGTCCTACACAGGTAGGAAAAAATGTATTTTATTAAATTACTATTATTAAATATGTTTACTAATCGTATATGTAATTTATCATATTGATGATGCCTGTAAACTGGCGTCCCTCATGTACAAAATGAGAATATACTATTATTTATTTATTTATTTATTTCCTCGGAATGCATTATGCTGGCATGTAGGTTTGTTCAAATATTGTTATTATTTATTTATTTATTTATTTCAATTTCTATCTTTCTATCCTCTTAAAGGTTAATAATGCTCTAGATATTACCGAAAAGTCATTATCGTTATTTTTTATGCTAGAACCTCCAATCGGTATGTTGCGGTTTTCTTTTTTTGAAAACATCTTATTCATTCCTTCCTCTTTAAAGAAGTTTTGATAATTGGTAAAGGAGAAACAAAAAGTATGGTGGATTATCGTAGGATTTTAGACATATGCTGGAAGCATCGTTTATGCGTTGAAGTGATGCCAACGGTAAGAGTGTTCTCTTTTTTTCCTCTCCATATTTTGTATAATTTCAATCGGATTCCAATAAGTGGTGATGATGGATAGTGACCATATTATTATTATTTCCTTTAATTCCTAGAGGATATAGGGGTTCAGCCGCGCGTCTCCATCGCGTTCGGTTCTCTGCTAGAGCCTGCACCTGGCTCCATGTCTGCCCACACGTTTTCATCTCCTCTTCACACGACCTCCTCCAAGTCACCCGTGCACTGACGATCAACTCACCGCTTCCCTTTCGGGTTCCACTCGAGCAATGGCTTGTCTAGTGATGTCACTTGATGGTTTCCTCAGAGTGTGGCCAATCCATCTCCATTTCTTCCTGCTTATTTGTTACACAATCAGTTCCTGGTTGGTTCGCTCATTGCCAGAGATCCCTGTTGCTGATGTTTTCTGGCTGGCCATCTGATCCTGAGTACTGAGTCAAGACAGCTGTTAATGAAGGTCTGTAGTTTGTTTGAGGTGCTCTTTATGACGCGCCAAGTCTCTGATCCGAATAGTAGCACTGACTTCACATTGGAGTAGAAAATCCGGATCTTATTTTTGACGCTGAATGCTGTTGACCTCCACACAGACTTGAGAGTAATGAACGCTTGTCTTGCTTTCCCGATCCTTTCTTTGATATCCTCGTCAGTTCCGCCTGTAGTTGAAACGATGCTTTCCAGGTTTGTAAGTAAAAGAGGTTGTTTCTTTCAGGTTCCTTCCATTTATGCTGACTGCTGTCTGTTGTTGTTGCTGTGGCTGTTGGTGTTGGCCAGGAATCTTCATCACCTCCGTTTTCTCTATGTTCACCTGGAGTCCTATCTTTGATGCTTCTTCTGCCAACTTGTTACTTTTCACTTGCATATCTTCCAGTTTATGAGAAATCAGAAATATATCATCAGCGAAGTCCAGATCCTCCAAGTTTTTGTGAGAGTCCACTTTATGCCTGTTTCCTCATTGCCCACTGTTTGTCGCATTATCCAATCTACTGCAATCAAGAAAATCATTGGCGATGGTAGACAACCCTGTCTTACTCCTGTCTTCACTTCGAAGGATTCCGTGAGCTTCCCGTTGTGGATTACTTGGCATGCAGCGTTGTCATACAACTGTTGGATGAGATGTATAATTGTCGGTGGCACTCCGTAGTAGAGAAGTAGTTGCCAAATCACCTCTCGATCGACGCTGTCGAAGGCCTTTTCAAAGTCGATGAAGTTGAGATAGAGGGGTGACTGCCATTCCAAGCTCTGTTCAATGATGATCCGTAATGTGGCGATCTGATCAATGCACGACATGTTTCTCCTGAATCCAGCCTGTTCCGGTCGAAGTTTTTCATCTAGGGCTTGTTTGATTCTCTCCAGGATGATGCGGCTTAGTATTTTGCTTGGGATGGACAGGAGCATAATTCCGCGCCAGTTCTTGCATTGACTTAAGTCTCCTTTCTTTGGTAGTTTGAATAAGTAACCTTTCTTCCAATCTTCAGGTACTTTGCCTTCTTTCCACACCTTCTCCAGTAGTGGCGTCATCAAGTCCGCTGTTGTCTCTGGGTCCGTTTTCAATGCTTCTGCTGGGATTCCATCTGGTCCTGCTGCTTTTCCAGCTTTTAGCATCTTGATTGCCTTCAGGACTTCTGATTTCGTCGGGAGGTTGGTGTTCACAGGTAGCTCTGTCTCCGTTGTTGGTATTGTTGAGCGCGTTGTAGGTGGTGGTCGATTTAGGAGTCTTTTGAAGTGTTCAGCCCAGTGTGTTAGTCCTGTGAATTTTTCAGAGGAAAGTTTCGGCATCGGAATCTTCCTGTTTCTTCAGTCACCTTTTTGGCAGTCCAGTCTTAATGTGCCTGACCAGAAATTCCTCTGACCTTTTAACGTGCTGCTGTGAACACTTACCCTAACATTTTACTTGATTCATGAAACATCACTCCATTACACAGACCTCATTTCGAAAGTATCAAATATATTTCGGTCACAATATCTGAAATGTATTATGGAGCCCTATGAACGCCTTGCAAAGGCTTCATAATTCTCTGATGTCCAGCAAGCGAAGTTAAATGGACACTTGAAGAGATAAGTGGTTTCTGAAAGGAAATTTTGCCTGGAAGCTACAGATCGGTCCCAAGAACATGCACTTGTTTTTAATCTAGAGAAAACAATATTGGCAACTCTAAACAATAGGAACCCCAGACCGAAACGACCTACGAACGTACAAACGACATTGTTAAGGACAACTTCGACCAATCAGAATGCTCAGAAAACGGCGCATAATTGTAAAAAATCGTTTATATAAAAGTAAAGCAATGTTAAAAATAATTTCAAAGGATATAGTTCTTGTATTTTTTGCAAGAAAAGCTCCCAGTTTCTCATAGGAGTCTTTATACTCATGTTAAACCAACATCTGTACATAAACTCATCCAGATAAGTGTATATCATTGGGTTTCTTGATCCGTTCACGAATCTAATCCTTTTTTCAGGTGACTTCAGAAACTTTCGATGCAATTAGTATGAGTTCCATCCAAAGGATTGCGAAAACCGTCTGTGTGATTGACTACATGATGAATATACCCGAGATTCGACAATCGACCATAAGTACTTTATTCGTCTGTGTGAATAGTGGTCCCGGGCAGCACTAAGCGCTGGATAATAGGCAATAATACACCAGCACTGCGATTAGGAATCGCAGTAGAGGTGTAGAGCATCCATAATTACTTCTAGAAACAACAGAGTCATCTGATTGGTTTTTGAAGGTCGTTTGTGCGTTCGTAGGTCGTTTCGGTTTGGGTTCCTATTGTTTAGAGCTGCCACAATATTCAATGTGTCACGGCTTGAAACATCTTGACAACTGAGAGGTCATTAAAGAACCCAGTGGCTCACGAATAACAAGTAAGCTAAAAGCACAGAACCGCCCATGTACCCTTATTTTGGGCCCGATTTCCTGAAGCTTAGACTACTGGCAGTTAGCCCAAGAACACTTCAAATAAATCGGCTCAGCTTCTTCCAGAATGTCCTCAGAAGGTGGTGTTAAAAAACCAAGAATTCTCAAACAGTCTGTGCCGCACTTTCCAATCTGTTGTGGCATTCTTTACGCGGACAATGAATACTAAATGCACATAAGGGTGCTTTTCTATGTTCAGATTTAGAGGAGAAATTAGTACGAAGTCAAATGCAAAGGGGCCACAAAAGGTTGAAGAAACGCATGGAACCAATCGACTTTCGGACGTTTTGTTTTCACTGATCGACTTGCATGTCTGCCAACCGGGTCAACAATTGAGTGCTGCAATCATTTGGTATTTTGAAGTGTTAGTAAAGTTCTGACGATATGGTGTAAGGTGGGATATCCACTTCATTTCTCTTAATACTGTTATCTGGTCACATTCTTCCACATTAATTTATGCAGTATACCTCCTTCTTTATTCGCAGATGTATGGATTAGTCTGACCACTAAGTTAGCATGGACCTGGTTGTTACGCTAGTGGGTTTCGTGACCACGATATGTGCGTAACATAGCCGTTATCAATGTTGCCCGCAGTTAGTGCCAATAAACGTAAGAACATGTCATTGCTGATCTAATCATACCATGCACGAGGTGCAGAAGGTTCCAGAACTACAGAATAGCATTCTCCAATGAGCGTAGCCCATCTCGAGAAATGTTTCTAGATCTGGTCAAGCTATTTAAAAGTATTCCACAAGGAATCAGTTTTCGGAAAGTCGCAGTGGGAATGAGAAATCTATTTGTACTATAGGCGGAGGCTTAACCGGAGCAAAAACAACCAAGTTCGACGAAATACTGCTACGCTTTCCATGGCGAACAACAAGCCCAGACGTTTTGTAGTTGTCTATATTGAAGTTATTACTGTACCTTATCATCAGAAATAAATCACCGGACGGATCCTCTATACTGACAATTAAAACTTATGAAGTTCTGTGGGAAACTTATTCACTCAAGTTTTAACACAAACTAAGGTTCCATGAACAGACTTATACTTTATGTGAATAACCCTCTTTACACGTTTCATGCTAAAAAGTACTATAAATACAGTTCACTTCCTTGGCGAATCTCTGAGGTCACACAATAATAGGGCATCCATATTATTTCACCTAACCGTAAGATTTAGCAAACCAGTGTCCAGGAGACCTGACCTTAAACATAGAAGGTTACTTACCGTATGAAAAATTTCAGTAGGAAAAAGGAAACTCACAAAAGAAAAGGCACAGTGCCTACAAAGCTATTTGTGTTTGTCTCACTATCATTAAATCACCGTTCGTCTGTCAATATTACGCGGTTGAGTTGAGAAACGCTTGTTCATTGTTTGAGAGTTAACTGTATGTCTATCCTCTTGCATTCATTTACTAGACACCCCTTACGTAGCCAACGTAAGAGGCCTTGATTTCGCTTTCTTATGAAAGTTGTTGTTTCAAGATACGAATCTAAACAATAGGAGGCGTGAAACTGGTTTAACGAAAAACAAAATTTCATCACAGGTGGAAGAACTACTCCTCTGTCTGCACCAAGCAAAGAATCAGTGAAACACGTTGAGAGTGTCAGCGTATATTCACGAGTGATGTTGTTATTTGAGGCTCACAATCGTTTCTTATAATCTCAAGAGCAGGTAAAACAAGCACAAGAACCTGATAAGCTAAACAAAATAAAAGAAGTACTTTCACAGGCCCCATAATTAGCCATCTAAAGGAACGTATGTTGAGTTGTAACTTTAAATGTAAGTGGAAATAAGGATCAGTTTCGGGATTCTGTAACAGAATATAATCGTTTACCTGTACAACAATTACCCGTGTCCTGGTTTACCTATGAAGGCAGAGAATATAGGGCGAATCCTATGCAACTGCAGTAAGGAAAGTATTGAAGACGTGGTAGTAACGCAGACAGTTAAAACTAAAAAATACCGCTGGTTAGGTTAGGGCTTTCCAACGTTTGGTATATCCTGAGCACACGCTTTTTATCACACTTGACTCTCACTTTCTTTCCTTAACGTCGCATTCCGT